TCACACTCTTGCAGTGTGTGTGTCTGGTTACCGCAGCCTTGTGAAGGTGGGTCTTCCTGAATTAATTTATCTGTTCTTAATGCCTCAATGAGACTCCATTTCTGGAAGTCTGATTTCCCACCTCCACATTTCTTTTGCCTTACCCTCCATTTGCTGCTCCCCTTGTGACCACTAGGGCCTCATAGAAGATAAGCTGGGCCTGTCAAAGGATGACAGGGATGTGCTGCCTGGTTGCTATGGAAACCCAGGCTCTGCCTTTTAAACTGTGAGGAGACGCCCCTGCCAGCGCTGGCGTGGCTCAGTTGGTTGAGCATCGACCTATGAACCAGGAGGTCATGGTTCAATTCCTGGTCAGGGCACATGCCTGGGTTGCAGGCTCCATCCCCAGTATGGGGTGTGCAGGAGGCAGCTGATTAATGATTCTCCCTCATCATTGATGTTTCTACCTCTCTCTCTCCCTCCCTCTCTGAAATCAATAAAAATATATATTTAAAAAGAAAACTTTATAAACTGTGAGGAGTAGGAGGGGCTGGCCTCCTCCCCACAGGCTGAACCCCACTGCCTTGGCAGGACCTGAGTCCCAGCAGCCTCCTGATTCATAACTAGGCTGGACCATGTGCAATAGAGTAGAAACTAAACTGCTCCATGCCACATTATTTTAAAAAAGGTGGGCCCTGGCCAGCGTGGCCCGGCTGGTTGGAGCATCCTCCGGTGAACCAAAAGGTGGCAATTCATGATTCCCAGTCAGGGCACGTACCCAGGTTGTGGGTTTGACCTGGTTAGGCCACATGGGTATGTGTGGGAGGTGGCAGATCAATGTTTCTCATATGGACATTCTCACTCTCTCTCCCTTCGTCTCCCTAAAAATCAATGGAAAGTGTGCGCTTGGGTGAGGAAACAAACAAATAAATATGTTGTTTCCCCTTAAAAAATAAACATAGCCATAACCGGTTTGGCTCAGTGGATAGAGCACCGCCCTGCGGACTGAAAGGTCCAAGGTTCGATTCCGGTCAAGGGCATGTACCTTGGTTGCGGGCACATCCCCAGTAGGAGGTGTGCAGGAGGCAGCTGATCGATGTTTCTCTCTCATCAATGTTTCTAACATTCTATCTCTCTCCCTTCCTCTCTGTAAGAAATCAATAAAATATATTTAAAAAAATAAAATTAAAAAAAATAAACATAAAAGAAAGGTGAGCCTTGTGATGGGTTTTTGTTGTTGTTGTTGTTGTTGTTGTAGGGGGTGGGGGCAGGGGGTGGTGATTGCTTGTAATTATTATTTTTAAGAAAATATTTTGGAAGAGAAAAAGAAGAAGAAGCCACCTGAAACTGCCCAAATGGCAGAGCAAAGCAGAGAGCAGCGGGGGAGTGCCCGATGCTTTCGGAGTCTGGTGGGCACAGGCGTCACATTGTGCAGGCAGTGCCTCCAGAGGAGCCAGGCCTGAGAGGTTTGGTAAGGGCCAGCCTCCAAAACTGCTGCCAGGAACGGGGACCCCAAAATCAAGATAACTTTGGGGACTTTCAGATGCATTGAGGCAATGAGTGAATTGCCTACTTTAAGAAAATGGTACAGAAGGGGTTCCACAAAGAACCCCAAAAGAGTTTCACAGGGAAAAGCCAGCATTGGGTCATCTTCCTCAGAGGCACCAATACAGATTGCAATAGCAACTACTAAGCAATAGCTTCTTGCCCCTCTTCTCCCTGGCCCAGCCTCATCCATGGAGCCAAAAGTGGTCCTTGCAGTGAGGAAGTGAAAGGTGAGGGGATCATGAAGACACAGGTGTAATCTGATCAGGCAAACACACACACACACACACACACACACACACACACACACACACACACACACACACACATATGGTGCTAGTGGAGAGAAGAAGAAAGGATTTCATTAAGCCTGAGGTTTTGCCATGAACTTGGGACTGGGCTTTGTACAACCCAGAAATGGGACAGGGCTAATGCCTAAAAGTTATGTAGACTTACTGGAAATGCAATCCAGTAGGCGACCCCACAGAGCAGATTTGCAGGGTGATGGTCGAAGGGAAATAACATTGCTGCCTGGGGACATTCTGCTTCATTTAGCCCACCCAGTAACGCCCTGGGCCGCAGACATGA